CTTACCTTATAGTAATTATACTGTATTGAAACCATACCTTATAGTAATTGTACTGTATTAAACACTTACCTTATAGCAAGAGCGTGAATTTGTCATAACTTTTTTATTTGAAGGGGGGGGGGCGAGCCCTGGAACCTGGAACATTCCATTACCAAACCAAAATAATAATTACAAACAGTTTACTGTACCAGTGTTATTTCGATGAAATCTGTAACTAGGGGTAATATGATGACGATATGGAAAGATTGACTACCAACATCAAAGCTGCACAAATATTAATTGTTCATGAAGTTAAAGATACATTAGTTATGAGTTTTATAAAGAATTGGCCATTCTTGCTATAATTCAGTCAAATTACATTGTTCTGAACGGAATTGTTTGTCACTGTTGGAAGTTTGGACTTGAAATAGGCATCGATTGTGTCTGTACCGTCTATGAGAATTGGCGATCGTTTGATTGACAGACGATAACTCCACCCACATATTCTCGATTATCAAGTAACATGCTCAATGGCTATGGTAGCCTCACTTGGCAGGCCTTTCGTCACCAGTTTCCGGTAAACGTTAGCTTGGTCCGCCATTTATTGATTTAATTTTAAATGGACGAGGCTGTTTAAATAGCTCTTGCATAATGTATGTTTAAGTGAACCGTCCAAAGACGTTTATTCTAGGAGCAGGGCTGTTCTCTATGAATATCCTGGCGACATGCTTTGGTTCCTGATCACGAAGGATTTCATTATGCACCGCACACACCACCCCCTCAACACACGCAACCACCCAGCCCACCTTGCCACAAATCAAAACAGATGTCCAGGGGCATCATAAACACTTATTTAGAGATGGGCAGTCCTAGAATATGGTCATCATTTATGTCAATATAATCACATTTTCCCCCAATTGTAGACACTGGACCCCCCCCCCCCCCCACACACACACACACACCCATCGTTTCTCGAAAACGCCCCCTCAAACGCACCATCACCACCCAGATTCGGAATCTATGTAAAAAAAACAGGTCTAGAAATACTTGGTCTCATAAATTCACAGCTCGGGTGGCGACCCCCCCCCCCCCTTCAGCCACCGAACTATACCTTTCACCTTTTCATCGTTTACCGTTTTACGATTGTACTGATATTTCCGGATATATTATTGTTATTATTATTATTATACATTTTGAGACTACAAAAACTTATAATATTTTGTTAGTTTGCTCCAAATACTGGATCGGAAATGACGATAATAACGGAAGTTGTATTTCATACCAAATCGACTGTGGAGATAGTTCACAGTATGTAATCAATCATTAACATAAAATGTAATATATAATATAAATTTAATTGAGTAATAAATCAAACTGAAAGATAGCTACGGTATTTTACAGTGAGTCATGTAGATATACGTTCACAAAAGGGGGGTCGCGGTTGTTCAGTAAGTAATACCCTGGCTCGCTAGCCAGAAGGTCTCGGGTTTCTCGATGTAGATATACGTTCACAAAAGGGGGGCCGCGGTTGTTCAGTGAGTAATGCGCTGGCTCGCTAGCCAGGTCTCGGGTTTTCCGATGTAGGTGCTGGGGATTTTTCAGCTTGGTTACTTCGTGTCAGTGGTGCAGGACGGATGATCTGTCAAGGACAAGGTCTATAGTAGATCGGATGGCACGACAAATTATCGTCCCGTGTACACATTGGTGTGTATGTAAAACAAATGAAATGGGGTTTAACGTCCTACGTTCTTCCCCGAACTGGGTTAATGAAGACGGCCATACAACATACAGTGTGCTATGAGGAAATTTTTGCCCGGACAGCGGCACTACGACCTACTCTTATATCGAATTCCAACTGCCAAGGGAACGTTTACTTGCACGCAAATGTGTACACGGGACCTCGGGTTTTTGGACCATCCGAACGACTAGACAGATGTCCTTGTCAGGCCCTCCGTTCTGCATCACTGACAAGTGGGGGGGGGGGGGACCACGCCGTACAATCTGGATGCAGGCAGGGATCGACCAAGAACGAATATGCAAAAAAAAACAATATCACCATAGAAAATAAATCATTTAGCTGTTTAATATAAATACTATAACAGCTGTTGTTTTCATCATTTTGCTGTTTATTGATTCACGGTTTTCTGGTGGCTTGCCAATTGTTGTTATGAACATTCTGAAAGTACAATGTAAGACACATTCGTTGTATCATTATTTAATATCATAACTTATATGTAATTAAACATACATTATGCAAGAGCTAAATCTGCCTATTGCAGGTCTTTCTTTAGACCCGAAATGTTATCTTATATTAATTAGACATTAATTAACTTATTCAGACCACAATCAACTCTCGATGTCTGGTGTTGCACGTAAAAGATCCCTTGACAGTTGGAATTCGATATAAGAGTAGACCATAGTGCCCGGGCAAAATTTCCCTCATAGCACAATATATGGCACACAACCGTCTTCTTTAGCCCAGTATGGTAGCAGAACAGTAGCACGTGAAACACCAGTTCATTTCATTTTATACTTACTTTTAACAGATTCCATAATACAACACGCAACATTGACTTCTACTCGATTCGCTGCGGCATTCCATTTAAAGAACTGAAAATATTTCATATCATAACTGTAAAAGTATTATTCGTTTTTTTGGTAGGTTCAGTTGAAAAGGACACAGTTCTATATTTCAACACTCTTCAGCGATCAAAACAGGCCGTTTAAAGAGTGGCGATGCTAAACCACGGGAGTTCAGCTCGGACACGCGTTAAAGCTGAACTCCGATTACAAATTTACAGAAATAATTAAATAAAAAAAAAAGGTAACGCCCTAAACGACCGTCATACTTGTTCTACAAATTCAAAACAAGTATGGCGGTTGTTTTGGGCGTTACCTTTTTTTATTTAATTATTTTTGTAGTTTTGTAATGGACGATATTAAATACTGGTGTTATTATCGATATAAATTTGATTTCTACATTTTTCATAGCTAACTAGCTACACTAGATGACTCCCATCTACAAATTAAGAAAAAGTGACCCCAAAATTTGAAAGTCACACAGAATACATAGCCTACAACTTTGTCTACAACTTCAGTATTTTGTGAGGACTCGCGCCGACATTAAAACCCTATAGTGTGATAACTGACTCTCTACTGCCAATAATGTAATAATGTGCATATTTATAATGTGCTATATCCACAAACTAAGTTTATGCTCAAAGCGAGACACAATTACAATCATATCCGAGATTTTCATCGTGGACCCATAACCCCACGTGGGCAAATATGTTCTTCAAATAAGTTCACATAAACAGCCAGCTTTCATAGAAATGGGCAGAAAACTAGAGCAGGTAGGATAGCATTGAATTAACGTCGACGGCCATATTCGATGACGTCATTGTTGAATAACCTACCACGTGGTGAGTGTCCACCCAAGTTCAAAATACTTACTTCGGCACCCATTAAACATTTCTTCAAAAAATATTCTCCCTACTCAAACTTTCCTACAGAACCATTTTGAAGATCGAAACAGAAATCGTAAGTGTATTTTATGTACTTTTTACATGATTTTGAACTCCAGCAGTGACTAGATTCGAAATAAATTGCATATCATGTTTGATAAATGTCCATACACTCGTGTGACCGTGTTATGCTTATTTGTGTTGTCATTTCGACGGAGTAATTATTTTTTCTTCGTAAAAAACCCTATGTTTGAAAATTAGTCTCTGTCCTATTCATATCACTATCAGCCCGTCTTGTATATTTTTTTTAAAAATATATCATCCTCAATTATTTTAGTATTTTTATTAACTTTTTTATGACTGATTATGACAGAATGACCATAGCAACCATTATTATCAGACCAGCCTGGGAATGAAATAAATTTACATCTTATCTTTCAAATACACTCACTAACTTTGTTTTTTTGTGTGTTTCAAGTGTGTGTTTCAATAAACCAATGGTTGAATTTCATTGTTGAGGTATAGAATTTTTGGCCACTGCAAACAGAAAATATTATCCTGTCCAGATAATATTCATTCGCAGTGAGTGGCCCAGGAAATTTAGAGGACTGTTATACTCATTCGACGCCACTTTTCGACCAATCAGAATTCAAATAATGTCCATTTTGGGCTACATAAGTCGTTGAGTTTTATATATTCATTATATATACTGAGCGTCATGGAAAACGCATCACTTAGTTTTTCGTATAACAAAATGATCCTGTAAACATATCTTATTTATTTTGCTTCTTATTGTGAACAATATTCAAATGGGAACACATCAATAACAACACATTTGTACACTTATGGATGTTTTATCTGTAATCAACGGTACAAAGTCAGAGGGGTCAAAACCAAAAGTACGACACAGATGTCAGTAGCGCGTGTGTCCTCCACAGGCTCTTACGCACGCTGTGCAGCGACGTCGCATGGAATTAACCAATGTTTGAAAGAAGGCCTGGGGCAAATTGTTCCAGCTTCTAAAGCAGCAATGGTGTGCATCTGTGGTCTCCGATACAGACGGCGTCCAATCTCATCCCAGACATGTTCTATCGGTGCCATGTCCGGAGACATGGCTGGCCAGTGAGCTGTTGGCGTGTGGTGCGCGGAGCTGTGGGTAATCCACTAGAAACATCAATGTTGATTGGTTAATCAAATGTCTGTCGTCATAGGGTCAAACGCCGTTCGTATGATCTCTGACGCGACCTCCCAAACAACTGGTCAGATCTTCATGTAGTTTAAGCCATCGAAAGTATAAAAAAAAACGAAACGAAATATAGATCTGTATTTAAATCAGATTGTTTTAAACGGAAAGTTGAAAATTCAACATTCAATTGTCTAAATGATAGCGACCATTGTGTAACGTGAACTGGGTCATAGCCCCCTGTTTAGTATGAATGAATTCAATTGAAAGTTTTTTTGGTTTTTTTTTTGTATTAAACATTTTAATGTTAAAAAAACACATAATTTCATGTTTATAATAAAAAAAAATCTGTATTATACTTGCTAGAGAGACTAGCGAGCAATTTGAACCAATTTCATCACTCCCGGTTTTAATAAATATTAATTGCTGGCTTACAAGTTTGATTTGATTATATTACACGGTTGATTACTTTCTAAAAAATATAGTTTTAATACATGAATGGAAATCTTGCAACCCAACAGAGCGACATCTTGGAAGCAGTAACAGGGGCCTGTTTCATTAAATTTTAACTAAGATATTATCCAAATTTTATTAATTTGATTGGATAATATTAGATTGATTTAGTGCTTAGCCAATCAAAATTGAAGTATCTACTAAAATTTGGATTTTATCTTTAGTTAAGATTCCGAGAAACAGGACCCTGGTCTCAAACCGACAAAGATGGGTTTTTTTTTTTAAATATCAGAATAATAGTTAAATCCACGTTCATTTTATTAAAATTCCATTTGGGAAAAAATCATACGTCATGCTGTCTCAATTATTGGCGCCATTTGTAAATAAATCAAACTAGTTGTCGCAATTATTGACAATAGATATAACACATGACACAATTGTATAGAATACAAATTACATAGATGTTTATTTCTGGTGACGATTCGAAGAGTGTTCTCTCGCCTTTATCAAACAAAGAACAACTATAGTACAAAGAGGGAGAGGGAGAGAGGTGGGGGTTTAAAGTTCACTCGACACAAACTAGGTCATTTCGGGACTAGCATATGGTTCATTTTCATTTCAATCAGGCCAATCTAAACCACACCACTTGATTCAATGGCAGACCGTATGATCTAAAGAGCACGTGGTAAACCATTTGGAAGAAAGAAACAACTATTTATTCAACTACACGTCGATTATTCATTCTTTACTCTTCGGCTTTTTCAACATTAACGTAATCACCAACAACGTAATCAGACCTCGCGTCATTCTGAGGATATTCCAGCTGCTGGTTAACATAGGTAGGTGTATTATTATCAATACAGTTATCCATGCGCAGAGTTTCCTTGGTGGCTTTAGGTTGGTGAGTTATTTCCCCTGGTCTTTGTTCTGAAAAGCAACTGTAAGTATGCGGATCATTCTGTGCGTCATTAGTGCTTTCATAGATTACCTCCCTTTTCCTTTTTCGTACTACACTGTAAATAAAATGACAAAAATCAAATGAATTCAAACAAGTAAGACAGAATAAACAGAATAATTAATTAGATTGTTTGTCATCTGTTACATCATTCGTTCTTTAAGACCCAACTCTTTTTATAACCCCATACAATACTTTTCTTGTTCTTCAAACATATCAAGTACAAATATTCTTGTAGTTAAAGACTCCGTAATTAGCTTGTGTTGAGGGAGCCATGGTCCCACCTTGGCTTGGCACCCTTGGTTGCCAACTCCCAACTAATTAACATGGCCGCTGTCCGGTCTTAACTAACTTCATGATGTCTTTTTTATACCCTTGGCCCTTGTCAGATGTCAAGATGATTACACGGCTGGCTAAAGATAGTGCTATAGATAGTCTTTCTGTACAAATTACTTTACAAGACAACAGGCATTACATGAATCAAATATCATGTCATAAGTGACAACTGTCATGGTAAGGATTTAATTATCCGGCCACGTGTCAAAGATGGAATGTCCAGATTTTGTAACACATCTTATTGGCCTTCAAATGTGTAATAATGGCTGACACCAATATTTTCCTTTAACAAATATTTTTATTATTACACCAAAATATACAACCGATCATTTATTGCGTAATAATGAAATGTAAAGATGTAATAACATTTAATTATGCAAAACTAACCAGACTATGACAACTATTATTATAACCAGTAAAATAACTCCGCCCACTGATCCACCGATTATAGAAGTCACTGTAAGTATATATCATTTAGTATTTAATCTATACTACGTCATAAATAATATCAAAGTCCACAAAACATGAAATTTATTAAATTACACCATCTATCCTAAAGGCTATGAAGTCCTAAAATTAAAAATAAGGGAAGTTGGTGCATTGCATGTAGTAGGTGTCAAAGTTGGTCATATATTTCTACTTTCAAAAGAAGGACCTAGGACACAAAATATGTCGGTACTTTGTTTTAGTTTGCTTTCTTTAGATATATTTAACCAGAAATCACTAGAGAGTTCTGGTGTTAATCCCGTGATCAAAGTCTAAAGCTATGAAGAATGGTTTCAGCAACAATATGACCCTCCATAAAATTCAATAAATCACTGTCTTTCTACTCGGTTGTCATATAATGACATAATAAGCTAGATTGACTGAGGTAGATAATTAGTAATGTAAGTTTCCATGAGCAGAGATTAAGGGGTACTAGATATACACGGATCACTATAAATCTTTCAATTGTCGTCTCATCGTCCAGCTCTAATATTTTTCCAAAATTTCCACGGACTGAACGCTTTTGACGACATATGAAGAAACATGCGGCAATACAAACAATACAACAAAGTGGTATTGGGTGTTCCAGAAAGATTAACCATACCCTGTTGGTGCACGACTTACGCACCTACTTGTACCTAGCTGTAACGATGGGTGTCCTAAAGCTTTATGAGATTGGTAACGAAAATATTGAAATATAAATCTGGTTAGGATCCTATAATATGGAGGCAGACCACCATTAAATTTCATTAAAATTGTAGTTCGTCTATTTATAGCAATTCTCTCTCTGTCTTTTTTCTCCACTTTTGTATGCCCATTTTTGTTGATTGTTTTTGGTCTAGAATGGACGACGAGGGTTTGAATTAACATTTTCTGCCAGGTTTTGGTAAATATTCATGATTTTGAAGCGGAAGGATAACGGGGTTATGGGGTTGGCTACGGTGATATGTACGGCAACTAGTTGCATGTTTTTAGTATGTTTCTTCAAGTTTGTGCATTCAGCCCATTGGAGGTGGGCAAAGAGGCCATAATTAGCACTGAAGTCAATGGGGAAATTAATGGTGGTCTGCCTCCATATAGACACCAACTCACCCGGGTTATCTTTCTTAGATGTTGGATATGTCGATTGGTTTGGTTGATTACCAGATGTTGGTGTTGTTGGTTGGTTCCATATAGACACCAACTCACCCGGTTTATCTTTCTTAGATGTTGGATATGTCGATTGGTTTGGTTGATTACCAGATGTTGGTGTTGTTGGTTGGTTCCATATAGACACCAACTCACCCGGGTTATCTGTCTTAGATGTTGGATATGTCGATTGGTTTGGTTGATTACCAGATGTTGGTGTTGTTGGTTGGTTCCATGTAGACACCAACTCACCCGGTTTATCTTTCTTAGATGTTGGATATGTCGATTGGTTTGGTTGATTACCAGATGTTGGTGTTGTTGGTTGGTTCCATATAGACACCAACTCACCCGGGTTATCTGTCTTAGATGTTGGATATATCGATTGGTTTGGTTGATTACCAGATGTTGGTGTTGTTGGTTGATTCGATTCATTACCAAATGGCGCTAATATTATTGAGAATACATTAGATCAATGTCAGTATTTTATCTTCAAATGTGTTATATTAATCCAAATCCAATAATAAATTCAAATTAATATTTAACAATTATATATTGTTGGTTTGTATTAGGCTAATGAGCTCCTAGAAACTTAAATTTGAAAGGATAACGATGTCTGGAAGGGAACAATACTCATGTCACCAAACGTGAGAGAGAGGGAGAGAGAGAGAGATAGGGGGATTGGGTTTAACGTCCACTCGACAGAAACTAGATCATTTCTGGACGACCATATGGCTCAATTTTACTTTAATAATTCGCTTGTGCGCAGGTGTTGATTCAATGACAAGTAGGGAGAGAGGTGGGGTTTTATGTCCATTCGACACAATATGGTTCAATTGTAATCCAATCATTTTCTTGCGCGTAGAGGTTGACCCAATGGCTCGCCTTGTGAGGATGGGATACGATAAAATACACGATAAGAGTGGAAGTATTTTAAGAACTAACTTATATTTTCTGTAACAGATGTTTCTATGTCAGTCGTATAACTGGATGTCGACCATCTTGATTTCCCACATGCCAGCGTTAGTAATGTTTCTGATTAAAGGACAAAAAACAGAAAGATAATAAGTGCGTTGTTAATTAACAGGTATAAATTGTGTGATCGATTTGCAGTTGATATACGTGTACCTTGTACGCAAGTATTATATAGATTTGATTACCTGCTTGTATTCTCAGGCAGACCTCGAATATTCTCGCTACAGTTAGATGATCTTGTAAATTTATCTCGACACTATCGTCATTCTTTATTGATATGATTGGTACGTAATTCTGTGCACATGTATATTCCCAGCTTGTAGTCATATACAGAAACTGGAATTTATACCCACATCCATGTGATATCTGAGCTGTGTTTATTGTAACATTGGTTTGTGTTTCAGTAGATAAAGAACATGAACATTGTGTAGTATTATCACTTATTTTAACACCAGACAAATAAACAACATTACCAGTCATAGAATTATCACTACATACTGATGTAGAATTTACTGAAATAATATAAAATATCAAGATTTTAATAAACAATTTTCCCAGTCATATAATTATCACTACCGACTGGTATAGAATTTATTGAAATAATATATATTTCATGTAAAGATGTATTTTTATACTTTATGTCAGTGATTCTCAACCAGTGTATCGCGGCACACATGTGTGATCCCAATCGAGTATTCACTTGTATCTACTGGTAAGTTCATAGCTGCTTTTTCTTTATTCAGATGGCGTAATTCTATGTGTCTATGACTAGTCAGTGTCTACGGTTGTATGCCGTCTATAAGTTGCCATGTTTTTATTTTGCAAAATTCAAATATTTTTCATATATTATTTAGCCAGGTGTGCCGCTACTTTTTCATGTGTTCCAAGGTAGGCCGTTTGCAAAGAAAGGTTGAGAACCACTGCTTTATGTGAATGATATGTGAGTTTGCTTTATGATATAAACGTGTAGTAAAGGAACCATTGATCGAAGGTGATATCTTAGACTATAGGCCATATGAACATTTTCCTCTCATCTCATCATGAGTTTGGAATCTAAATTATAGTGGCGGGTGTCGTATACAAGACTATATATTAAAGGTAACTGTTTTTGATTGACTGTTAGAATGTGAAGTAAGTCCAAATTCCCTATTCATGAAACTTAACATTAAAGTTACAAAATTAAATGGTAGAAACACATTTTAAAGTGTTGTAATGGATATTTTTAGTTTTGACTTTGTAATCTAGTAGAGCTAGTTAGTTCTATTTTTGTTTTGAAGCTTGTAGTGTAGTAGATCTATAGTAAATGCTAATTTCTTTAATCCTTTCATCAATCCGATTAAAACACAGATCCTATTTCGTTTCTTTTTTATAGTTCAAAATTTCGTTTTACTTGTCTTTACTACACTAGGATTTGGAATAGTTGTTATCATTGACGTGTTCTGAATGATGTGAGGGACTAGCCAATGAAACGGTCTGTTACGGCGAGCTTTAGGCGTGTTTTGCACGGAACTGTAGGTAATCCACTAGTAACATCAATGCTGATTGTTTAATCAAATGTCTGACGTCATAAGGTCAAAAGCCGCTCGTATGAACTCTGACGCGACCTATAGCTACAACCAGTCAGATCTTCATGTAGTGTAGGCCATCGAAAGTATAAAAAAACGAAACGAAATATAGGATCTGTATTTTAATCGGATTGATCCTTTCATCAGTTACTTAGGATTCAGAAGGAAAATAATGTAATAGAAGATATATTGTTACCGTCTCTGCGGCAGTTATAACTTTCTGAAAAGACAAGAAGAATCAGATATAAAATATATGCACAATATCTTTAAAATGAGCAATATAATAAAAAAAAAGTAACCTGGAAGTACAGATGATTTGTTAAATTAAAATAATTATAAAACATATTACATGTTGCGCTTGATTTAGAGGTCATTATTCCATAAAGTAAATGACATTTATGTACGAATCTAAGTTTCGATGAATAATTTTGTATTTGCATCAAACTGATCATCTTACTGGCCAACGTATAGTCCTATTACGTAGACCGGAAGTCAGCGTATAGCGCGGATAGTGGCAGTCAGTGCTAACTAACATGGTCTATGATATCTTCATCTGAGCCGCCCTCCTTCGGGCTTGGTAGTATAGTGAATAATTGTATTTGCATGAAACTGATCATCTTACAAGAAGCAGATGTGTAGGCAGTCCCGTAGCTAGCCCAAAACTCTGTGTGTGTGTGTGTGTGTGTGTGTGTGTGCGTGTGCGTGTGTGTGTTGGAGGGGGGGGCAACGGTTTCAAGGGGCGCCGATTGAAATTCCTACACTTGACGGTCCACGACGAACGGCACCGTGGACGAGTATCCCTTCTCGGAGAAGCGTCTAGAGTGCTCTCTCTCTCTCTCCCTAGACAAATTTGGAAAAAAAAGGTTTACACCTGAGGAGAAGAACTGTGAAAATGAAGCTAAATTTGCGATATTGGCGTATTATGAACATTATAAAAATTTGAAGGAAGGAATGCGACTTTAGCGTACCTTTAATAATTTATGAGAAAAACGAAAAGTTCAGAATCGGGTTAGAGTGCCACTTGTATGAATTTTGAAGATTATCACATTTGGTGCGGGCTTGAATCAATCTCATCCCCATCGTGAATTTGACCTGGAAAATTGCCTACTATCTCCAGTTGGCTTTCTTATGGTGGATTTCTTTGGGCGTCGGTATGCGGTCGTGGGTACCCAACCAATCACACTCGGCATTATGCATTATGTGCTGCCCGACAATCATTATATGGCGCCCCACCATGATCGTGTCATTATGGGCGCCCTCCGGGATAAGGCACCCCACAGATCACGCCGCTTTGGGCGCTCCGTCAATCTAGTTGTGTTGTTAACCGTGTGATTCATTATGAGGCGCCTGACCATTTGGGGGCGTCTCATATATAACGACACGATTGACGAGGCGCCCATAAAAACCAAGTGACATTGGTTGGGCGCCCCGCCAATCTCGTCGTGTGCGTCCAACCAATGTCACTTGGCTTTATGTGGCGCTCATACTGATATGGGCACGTTGGTCGTTGGCTTCGTATTGCGTTCAACGGAAAATGTGCCTTCAGCACCTATTGAGAGTGTCCATATTTTCCGCTAGCTACGGGCCTGGTAGGCCTCTAAGTTGACGACTGAGCCAGCCTCCCTTTCGGACTTCATAATATGTAGCAAATCATTGCAATACATTATTAACCTAGACAGAGTATACTCTTTCATAAAGTTTCGTTTTCTGGTGGTCAGGTGGTTTAATGGCGATTACCATGACAATTCCGCTCTGATATTGATATTAACTACCGAGTACTACTGCGGTGTGATTGGTCTTATATATAAAGAATCGGCCAATCGGGGCTTTCCTTGAAATATTAATAGTAATCTGGCAGGGCAACTCCTTTGGATGAAATATACCTTGGGCGCTCCCCTGGATCAAGCCTATTTTGTGGCTTCCTCTCGCAAGTTTGTTAGGTGGAAGTGAACATAAAACTGCAGGCACGAACGAATAGCAGGGCAATATTACATGTTGTAGCCTAGTATCCTATTTCGGTATGATTGCAATTCGCAAAGGCTATGTAAAGCAAAGGGTGAATGGTCGAAATGAAATGAAATGAAATGGAGTTTAACGTCCTACTGTTCTTCTCCTAACCTGGGCTAATGAAGACGGGAATACGCCATACAGTGTGCTATGAGGGAAATTTTGCCCGGACAGCGGCACTACGGTCTACTCTTATATCGAATTCCAACTGCCAAGGGATCTTTTACGTGCACGCCAATGTGTACACGGGACATCGGTTTTTCGTCCCATCCGAACGACTAGACAGCTTTCCTTGTCAGCCCCTCCGTCCTGCATCACTGACAAGGGAGAACCACGCCGGAAAATCTGGATGAACTTTCTCGGCCAATGCAGGGATCGAAGACCCGACCTCCAGGCTAGCGAGCTAGCGTCTTACCCACTTAGCCACGTGATCCCCGGTGAATGGTCGAACTGGTGGTGTATTTATTCATTGAAAGAAAACAAACTGAACATAGAACAGAAAAAGAAAATATATCAATAGAATAAAAAATAATACTACGAAATGAAATGGGGTTTAACGTCCCACTGTTCTGTCTCTATACTGGGCTAATGAAGACGGGTATACGCCATACAGTGTGATGAGGGAAATTTTGCCCGGGCAGCGGTATTATCGCCTACTCTTATATC